ACACAGCAATTGGCTGCCTCCCGCATGTGCCCCTGGAGTCAGGGATGACACCTGCAGCCCAGATATGTGCCATTGGCCAGGAATCACACCCAAGACACTTTGGTGCATGGGCCTACGCTCTAACTACTTATTACCACTGACCAGTGAAAAATAAGTGGCTTTTTTTTAATGACTACAGGGCTTTCTCTAGCGTTTGACAGAACACGTTTGTTTTCTTTTGGATTGTGTGGATGAAAGGGGGCCACATGCTAACTTGGTTAGCTCAGGGGAAGCCTGCGTGGTGGCCTTGCAAACTCAGAGACCTAAAGTAACCACAAAGTATGGTCTGAAATTAAACCTTTTTAAACCAACAACAGCTTATTGTGAGTAGTCATGTCCTAGGCCAGTGATCGGCAAACTCATTAGTCAACAGAGCCAAATATCAACAGTACTTCTTCAAAACAGACTCACTCAGGCCGAAAACCGACTTCTGTGCATGGGCCACGAAGTTTCAATCACACTGTACCTGCGCAGCCCACATGGTATTTTGTGGAAGAGCCACACTCAAGGGGCCAAAGAGCCGCATGTGGCTCGCGAGCCGCAGTTTGCCGACCACTGTCCTAGGCCAGCATCTTCCCTGACAAAGGTTAATCTTTACCTTAACTGAGCTGGTCCATTATCTTTCTGCATCTTTGATAACATATTCTTGCAATGTCAAAATAATTTTTCGTTTTCAGGACCTCTCAGAGCTCAGGTACCACTCTGTGGAGACTACAAATCCCCTCATTGTTATAGGTAATTGTTGACTGTTAACTCTCTTGCACCCACCTAAGTAAAAGAACTCTGTGACTATCATTTTACTTTTTATTCAATCTGAGAAGTTTCCCCGCTTTGCTTTCTCCCACCTTCCTATTCTATCACCAATGGATTTCATGTAACCCACGTGCATCTCCTCTGTTGATTGTAATGTATAAAATAAGATGCAAAACTGCTGTTCTCTGGAGAATTTTCGCAATCGATTGAGATTCTGTTTCCCAGGATTTGTTGACAGTTTGGCTCAAATAAACCCACAAAAATTCTTCACAGGAAAAGAAAATACTTCTATCATTTTTAGATCCTTTTTCTCTCTCAATCGTTCTAAAACTACTTCTTTTAAAGAGAATTTGACATACTTCATATATCTTTGTACAAAGAGCTATAAAAAATTTACTTAATAAAAACTAAGAAAAAATGTAGATCAAGCATGTCAAACTCAAAGGCTAGCACAGGCCAAATAAACTAGGTTTAAGTTTATGTGGGCTGCAAAAACCTCAAAGCTTCAATTTTCAGAGAAAGAATAGGTTTATTTCAATAGAGATACGGTGAATGGCAAGGGCTGAAATAAATAAGTAATCATTAACATAAAATAATAGAACATTTTAATAAAAATTAATAATTTTCTTGAACATTAACTTACCAGACACTGAATAACTAAGTGCACAAATTAATAAGTGTAACAGAAATAAACCTATTTTTTTTGTTCTGTAAAAAATCAATAAAATATATTTTTAAAAAATAATCAAGTCATTAGCGAACGTTGTAATTCATTATTAATAATTATGTATAACAGGATATTGTAAAAATTAAGTTATTAAATTTTTATTAAAACGTTTCTTACATACCATTATTATGGCTGGGCCGCAAAAATATTCATTGTGAGCCACATGTGGCCCACGGGCTGTGAGTTTGACATGCTTGATGTAGATAAACAGATAAAGCATTTGCTGATTCTAAGCCACTCTATATCTCACATATCAACATAAAGTTTACTATCAGGCTATATCTCACAATGAAAGCAAAGAAGCCCTAACCGGTTTGGCTCAGTGGATAGAGCGTCCGCTTGCAGACTGAAAGGTCCCAGGTTCGATTCCGGTCAAGGACATGTACCTTGGTTGCGGGCACATCCCCAGTAGAAGGGTGGGCAGGAGGCAGCTGATCGATGTTTCTCTCTCATCGATGTTTCTAACTCTCTATTCCTCTCCCTTCCTCTCTGTAAAAAATCAATAAAATATATTAAAAAAAAAGAAAGAAAGAAAAGAAAGCTGCCAGCTCTCAGGGAGAATGGTCAGTTTTAATTTGTAATTATCTCTGCCTCCCCAATTTGATAACCATGTAAAACTAAGACCCAGGAGTTTACCAGATTGCCACCTCAGTTGACTTATTGGCATTGGTTGCAACATTCCACTGAAATTTTAACTGAAATTCTAATCCTTACTGGATGCTTAATAAGTCTTCAAACAGTTTATAGTATGATCAAGAAATTAAACTGAAAGTTGAGCTGACACACTCTAGGTAAGGTAAACTGCATAGCTGAAGAAATGGTATGTGCAATGCAATGTTTTCTTTGAACCTATAATGTACTGCTTTCCAGACCCTTCTGCTTCTATTATTAAGTTAATGGTGCATCTCAGAGTCAATACCATTGTAGAATACAGGAAATATCATAGTTAAATCAATGAGTAATTACTCATACTAAATATTCATCACAAGATAAGTGAGCTACTAAAAAGCAGTAAGAGAAGACTACATGAAAAAGAATAGGATAAAACTAACCGCTCATCTAAATAGTTACGATTTCTATGAATAGATTAAACTTCAAAGATTCTATTTTCTCGCATCAAAGATTTTATAAATAGAAAAAAATAAGAAAATAAAAAATATTTCTGGTATGCTGGTTTTTTTTGGGGGGGGGGGAAATGAATGGAATTGAGAAAAAGTTAATAATTGGTTAGCCAAGAGGATATACAGCAAGTAGGGGTAAATCACATCACTCTATGTTTAACCTCTTCCATATGCTTTGCCATATTTACTCAATCCCAGGAGCAAAGGAAAGGATCAAGTCAACTCTACAAAGTGCCTATTAAAATGCAAAACTCTATGCAAACTAGATGCTTTGAGAAGCTAGAACAATGAATCATCAAGATCCCAATCTAGCCTGGCCAGTGTAGCTCAGTGGTTGAGCACTGACCATGAACCTGGAGGTCAGGGCACATGCCTGAGTTGCAGGCTCGGTCTCCAGTAGGGGGCATACAGGAGGCAGCCAATCAATGTTTCTCTTTCACACTGATGTTTCTCCTTCTCCCTCCCTCTCTCTCCAAAATCAATAAAAATATATTAAAAAAAAAATCCCAATACAAGGAGCTTAAATTTAATAGAAGTTGTAAAACATGTATGCCACAGCTACAATATAATACAAACAATAATTAATATTAAGAGGGGGATATAAGTAAAATTTGATAAACAAAAAGGAAATACAAATTATGTTCAGTAAGGAAAAATGGGAAAACTTAGCAGAAAGATAAAAATTGGGTTAGACATCGAAGGATTAAAGATGGAAGACTGTAGATAGATGTTTGGATAAAAATATGGCAATACTGAAAGATCAAAGTAAAATGTTATTTTAAAAAACCTGAATTTCACTACAGAGAATGGAAACCACTGAGTTTTTCAATGGTATAATAAACTAATTGGAATTGTTCTCAAGATTTCTCTTACAACATTTGTAAAATAAATGGGTTGGGGTATCTGATTCTTTATATGTGTGGGGAATAGACATTAGATAAAGTTGATATAATTAGAAAGATGATATAATAATCTAGGCAAAAAGTAACTAGAATCTAAAATAGGGTTAGAGCCTCTAGAAACTAAAAGGAAGGAGTAAAATATGAGTTTCATTATGGGTTCAGATAGAGAGGGTTTCCAACTGGTCAAAAGTTGGGAACAGATTTTTATTTAGTGTTTTCCTTAAACAAAATCAGTGTATGTACTTTAATTAAAATTTAAATAGTACAGCATGTCTTATGCCTTATTCTCAGTCCTGAAATGTAATAATATTCAATCATTTCTCTTTTTATTTCTTCAACTGGCTACTACAATAAAACTAATAATTTCTGCTACATATATACTGTAAAGAATTTAATCTCTTGATCGTGTACCCAAGAAGACAAAAATTAAGTTCATTATGTATCATTTCTAATAGCTAAAATATAGAAACAACTTAAATGTTCAACAAGGTAGATTAATATATAGTATAAATACTAAAAAAACCTACAGCTACATATGTCAATACATATAAATATAAAAAATGTTAAGTGAAAAAGTTATGTATCTGTATTAACATTAAACTGATGAAAACACTATATACTGCAAAATAATACATACTATGAAAGTACAAAGACATACACTAGTATCATAAAAACAAAATTCAAGTGAGGAAAAACAGGAAATGTGTCTGTTATGTTTCATTTCTTAAAAATTAAAAGTTCTGAAGCATATGTAGATGTGATAGACATTTGTTTTATTGTTCTCTATTAACTTTTTTGAATTGAAACATTTTACACTTGTTTAAAACAAAAAAGCTTATATTAAATACTGAACTTTTGTAAAAGTACCCTTCTGTAATCTATAATTCCTTACAGTATAATTTCAGAAAAAGCTATTTCTTTCCAGCACTATTTATCACCCTACTAACCTTTGTTGGTCCAACAAGGGAGAGGAAACTGCAGTTGTCTTCCTGTCCTTCTTGCTAGTTGAAGATGATGACTTAGGGCTTGATTTTCGCTTTGGAGATTTGCTAGACTTTCTTAGAGAAGGTGATGGAGATAACTTTGATCTAACCATTTCTGGTGAAACCTTTCAAAAAATTCAGTAAGTCAATTCAGAAACTCCTCCAGTCATGGTAATAAAAATAATCAGGCAGTAAAGCATGGATTTTTAAACCATGCCAAAATTTAGATGAAATATTAAGTGCTATTATATTAGCCATGTATTGATAGTAGTCAGACTCATGAAACTGTGCTTTTATTTTTATTTTTTTAGATCATTTTTTTCTTTATTGATTAAGGTATTACAAATGTGTCCTTGTCCCCACACCCCCCCAGTCCTGCCCTCACCCTCAACCCCTGTTGTCTGCATCCATTACTTATGCTTATATGCATGCATACAAGTCCTTTGGTTGATCTCTTCCTCTTACCTCCACCCTCCCCTACCTTCCCTCTGAGGTTCGAGCATCTGATCGATGTTTCTCTGTCTCTAGAACTGTTTTTGTTCATCGGTTTATGTTGTTCATTATAATCCACAAATGAGTGAGATCATGTGATATTAACACAAAATGCTAATTAACTCCCCTAAATAACACTAATACCAATAAAACAAAATGAAGTTATGAAATTTCAAAATCTCCTAAAAAAATCAAAAATTATATTCAAATAAATTCTCTCTCTCCACTCTTTAGTAATGAAGCAATTATTCTAGAAACTAGTGGCCTGGTGCATGAAATCTGTGCACATTAAAAAAAAAAAAAAAAAAAAGAATTAATTAATATTTCTATTTGCCCTTTCTTTATAATTGAAGTGTCAGAGATGAAAGAAAATTAGTTAAATGTATATGAAAATAATATATACATTTATTAATAAATAAACAATAACAGCAATTAGTAAAATGTATATGAAAATCTCCCTCTGACCCCAGGAAACAGAGCCAAGTCCCTGCCCACCAGCGTGCGCCTCGAAATCACGCAAGTCCCAGGCCCGGCTGGCCCCACCCCCGTCAAACTCCACAGGGCAGGGGGCACAGCCTCAGGTCCCCCAACCTGGTGCCAGGCGCGGCCTCAGGTCGCCCGGTACTACCTCAGGTCCATGCGAGGACCATTTGTATATTAGCTCTTTATTATATAAGATAGCATGGGCCTAAACAACAGATATATATATATGTATATATATATATTCAAATCCTACTTTACATTAGCTGGTGACTCTGGGCAACAGAACTTCAGTTTTGTTCACATGTTTATTATCTATTTATCTAATAGATTAATGTGAAGATTAAATGATTAACACATATGAAGTGACTGATATAGAGCAAGTTGACCAATATGTGTATCAATAGCCCAATACAATTTAAGATGTGCCAAGAGCTAGTGAGTTCTCTGATCAATATCCATGTTGATGTTAATCGACTAACATATATTTCAATAAATAGCATACCTCCTTTTTAATAATAATTTCTTCTCTCTTCTCCATGTTTTCTTGTTCTAGCTTCATTAATTCTCTCTGTATCTTCTGACGCTTCATTTCCAATGACAACTCATGAACGTAATCATAATTAATATCTCCATTGTCAGAATCTTTAAACAAAAATCTCATTACTTTTCAGAAACTATAATAATCTCTATAAAAAACTAGAGAATCTTTTCAAATAATTTTTAAACAAAATAGTAGAGCCTTTATTAGATTAACATACTCTTAAAAGATAAAAGAAATATACACGTTTTCTATAAAGGATTAAAATCAATATGGCTGATTTATGAAAAGCCAAATATTTTTAAGGTTCCTGGATTTGCTGGAAGTAATTTTGGGTTGTTGGGAGTTGGAGTTTTGATTAAGAGATGGGATTTTTAGAAGATAAAATAAAGCACTCAATTATAAATTCTAAGCATTAAACATACCAAAGCCTTCAATATTACATGCTGCATATAAAATGAATTATTACCTCCTTAATTTTCTTAGACACATTAGTACTATAAAAAGGTTACATTAGGTGGGCAACACTGCTTCCATAGTTTGTTGTTGTTGTTTTTTTTATCAGTGGCACAATTGATTTATAACTAAATACAGTTAACAATTTTTAATACTAATGTGTACATGAGCTAATTTCTGAAGGATCTATAATATTTTCATTAAAAGTGATTTGAACTAGTTCCTTAGATTAGAACTGTACATCTCCTCAGTGGATCTGATACTATGTCTCTATTTCCATTCATCTCTTCCAATGGAGGGGGGTGGTGAGGAAGAAACCTGGTTAAGGAAAAGAAAAGTAAGAGTGGTATGCAGAGCTATTTCATTATAATACATACATGTTTTCAAAGGCTATTGGCACTGCCACCCAACATCTCATTCTCATTTGCTACAAATGCCAAGCCTGGAGATGGGAATTTTACTGACTTCTAACCTAACATATGACTAATTGGGTTTGATGGATTACAAACTAAGGTACCTTCTCAAACTATACTGTCAGCACTTAAGATCACCATTTCTTAACCTGGAGTAAAGAAATAAAATGAACTAAAAAACAAAGATAATCTAGTTCTACTTGATTGCTTAAAGCACAAGAAAATGGACATCACTGTCATGTACAGATAAAATACATTAGAATGTCACCTATCCACTCATGCATGGGGACTGAGGGTAGCTTTTATATTTGTTATCTGTGTGATTAAACTTAATTATTCATGTTATATTGGAATATGACAACTTCTCAGTAAATATATAAACTAGACTACAGCATGTTTGTCAGTCACAAAGCAATCATTAAGAGGCATATAAAATTTACTAGGTAAAATAATTAGAGACGGTGAATTAAATTAAAAATGGTTCTATCTATTTACTATTTTATTTCCCATTGACATAAATCAGTAAATAATAGGGCTGAAAGATATGGTTTGATTGTATTCTTCTTCTTTCTTATTTTTGGATGCTTTACCTTCTTTATTCCACTATGTATAACTATTTTGTAGGATCAGAAAATATCTGCTGCAAAGGTGTGCTATGCAGTCTCTTAAGGCTGGTCTCCATTCCTAAATGTAGAAGTATGGTCTGGATTCATGTTAAGACATGGGAAATTCTTAAGACATGACATGGATGTGAAGAACACTGACTGACCTACTCTACGCTAGGACAGAACAAAATCAGGACCCATTTGGAATCACGTACTGTGGTCTGACATAGACATCTATAGCATCATGTCACTTTCATTCATTTCAATTTCAAAGGTTTCTTCCAAAGAAGGTCTGGAATCTGGAGTTTTCCTTGAGGTTTCCAGTGGTGTAAGCCCTGTTTCTTCTGTAGTCTGTTTTTCTACTTCAAATTCCCTGAAATCCCACAGAGGTGAAATAATGTTTTTTAGTGTCTTCACTGTATTCCATATTTATTATATAATCACAAGCCTTAGCTAGATGCAAGGAAGATATTTTCTTTAGTTTACCAACCAAATGACAGTGATAATAATAATAGAAATTTCATTTTGTTAGCAAAAAATCTTCTCATGCAGTTTGATCAATTTGCTCTGCCATACCCTTTCATCAGCTGTGCTACTGTGAAGTAAGCAGCCATTGCTTGATCATGTTCACTCTCAACTGCAAATGAATGTCCATATGCTATCCACGCAGGCCCATAGGTCTTCTCAAGTGTCGTAGCTTTACTGAGATATCTTCTGGCATGTTCATTCTTATGACCAACCATGAGATAATAGCATCCCACTGCAAACCAAGAAACAGGGTTGCTAGGATATAAATCCAACAATTTATGAGAAAGATGGAAAAGTTCATTTGCTTTATTCAGCTCCACTAGTGTCCCTATATGTACAGGTAAACAATTTGCATGGAAAGGATCTTTTTCCATTACTATAGAAGCTTATAGCACATTTTAAAATCACAGTTACAATAATGTCTTTCAGCTAAAGATACTACCACATCCAGATTCTCTTGCAAACCATCTACAGACTCGGGGATGATAGTTTCACTCGGTTCATTATACTTTTAAAATTTGTTCTCAAGTAGAAAACGTAGCTTTCCTGTTCTTCAGTACAGAGCTTATTAAGAGGTAGTGATTCAAGAAGTTCTTTTTCTTCTTGGGCTGTCAACATGTGGTGTGATGTCAAAAGATCAAATGCTTCAAAACAATAGACATCGAGCTTCAAAGCTTCTTTATAGCTATAGGTAGCTAGGGTTCAGTTATCCAGAGCGTCATAGATTTTCCCTCGTAAAAGACAAATAGAACTCTTTATTGAAGACTGTGACATTTCCCAGTCATTGGGGGTGTGTTTCAAGCCACTTTCATCCTTTGAATACTTCTCAAATAATCGTTTGTTGATAGGCTCCTCCATATCAAGAATATCGAGAGCCTGCTGATGCTCTTTCGCAGGATAATGACATCTAGCTGCAAAGTAGCGGCAAGATTCATACAATTTATCTAGTTTTCATGACCGAAGTGCATGCGCTGCTCTCTGATATTGTGCTGTCAGGTAAAGACACTGAGCCAACCAATAAACGTCCTGGGGTTCCTCATGAGAGAGTGAAGCTACTTTATCAGCCCAAAATAGAGCACTTTGATACTGTTGCTCGTCCAGGTACTGCCGGACGCTGCTTCCGCAGCCGCAGCCACTCCAGGTTCATGGCCGTGCGCTACTGCTGCCGGGGGTCCAGACAAGCGCCCTCCACCGTGCGCCTTCCTTCCCGCTGCCCGTTGAGCAGACCTGGAGCCCAGCCCCGCACTGTGATCACCCTAACCGCGGCTGAACTGACAGGACCCGTGCTGCAGCCGCCGAGGTCCTTCTGTTTGTATTCTTAAGTTATTAATAGACAGATGAAATTCCATAACCAAATACTAAGGGTAAAACAAAGAGTATTGTCAATAATACTGTGCCCATCAAAAAGCTGCTGTGTGGAAATATCACCAATACAGAATACATGTAAGAACTAAGAAGTTGGCTTTCAGACTTCATTCCCCAACCACCCAACCAAAGAAGTAGGCCTGAACAGTTAAAACACTTGTCAAAGACAATGTATGTACTACAGCTAATATAATCTGCCTAAAGGAAGTTGAGTCTTTAATCAGAAACTATTCTTATTTTATGTATATTTTTATAATCAAAAGAAAGATGCCTTCCTAGTCCATTAGAAATGGGCTACAAAGTAGGAATGTTATTTATTTTTTTACTTTAAAAACTAATTTTCCCATCACCATTTATCCCCTCTATGCCCTCTTCCAGCTCCACCACCCCCACACAATCACCACTGTTTGTTGTACATGTCCATGAGTTCTTTTTTCTTTTTTGTTCAATCCTATCATCAAACACCAAACAACCCCTCCCATTGATAGTGACTGCAAGTAACAGTCTCCTGACCAAAAAAGCAACAAAAGTGAAAACTTAGGACGAGAGTCCCCTCAGCCTCCCAGCCACCCAGGGCTTGCCCGAAGCACAGGCAAGCCTCGGATGGTGGCTGCCCACCCGTCCAGGGCCGGCCCAAGACTCAGGTAACCAGGGCCGGCTGAGGCTTGCACTGCTGGCAGTGGCAGCAGCAGAGGTCTGATGGGGCGACACCTTCCCGTGATCGCCGGGTCGCCTCCCACTCCTGAGGGCTCCCGGGCTGTGAGATGGGGCAGGCCGGGCTGAGGGATCCCCCCTCCAGTGCATGAATTTTCATGCACTGGGTCATTAGTAGTGAATAACATCACAAAAATTTTGAATGGTGACGATGGTTACTAGACTTATCATGGTGAACACTATGTTGTACACCTGAAATTAATGTTAGCTATATTTCAGTTAAAAAGAAACATGTACAGGACCTGCATGCTGAAAATAATATGCTAATCTGAGAAATCAAAGACTACCTAAATAAGCAAAGAGGCATACTGTGTTCATAGATTTGAAGACTTAGATGCCAACTCTCCTCCAATTGATCTTATTATGTCTTTAACATAAGCCCTATCAAAATCTTCAGGAATGAGGGCTAGGTGAAGAGTTCATAGACTTGAAAGCAAAACCATGATCCAAAGAAAAAAATGTTAAATCAGACCTCACCAAAATTAAAACATAAAAAGAAAAAAAAAATGAAAAAACTTAGGACGAAACTAAAAAATGAGTCTGAAGCCATTTAATAAAAGTAGAAAATGGCTCATATATTATAGTTGATTAGTTTCAATAAGGCAATTGTAACAATTACAATTGCCTTATTTAAATTAACTTATATAGAAGATTCTGTCATCAGAAAAATATTAAATATAATTAAAATGGCATATTTAAGAAGGCAATTTTAAAAAATATATAACAAAAACACATGTAATACATAAGAAAAGGCTGACTTTCTTTATATACAAATAATTGTTACCAATTAAAAGAAGAATGGGCAAAGGACATAAACAGGCAACTTACAAAAAGAAAGAAATGTAAATGATATATAAATACGCTATTTTCATGTATTAAAGAGCCATTTTTTTCTAATTATAATATTAGGTATTGGTAAAGGTACATATAAAGAAAATGTTCATTCTCTAGTGACAGCAATATTAACTAGTACATCGATCCTGGAAAATAATTTAGCAATATGGGTAAAGCTTTAAGAACATT